CACACACACACACACACACACACACACACACACACACACGCACGCACGCACGCACACACACACACAGTATAAAGGATCAAAGTTTAATGTTCATTATTTATTTAATGTTTAGCCTGACACCTTACCCTGCTGCACCTTTTCTCAGGAACTCAGTTTCCTATGATGTGCTGTCTGTTCAGCACATACACTCAGTCCTGTCATTACACACAGTCTTCAAGAAAGATTCAATTTTTTTTCTTTCTTTTTTACATTTTGGGACAAATCTATGCTGCTTTAAGATCTTCCCTTTACAGAATTAGCATGTAGACCTCATAACTGTGGAGCTATTCTTGATTTACTGTAATTTGCTGAGCATTTTCAGGTGGAAATTACCTCTAAAACACCTTAGGGCTTAATAGGTTATAGTAGGCCTAACAACAGAGATATTTCCATTAATAATGGTCAAAGTCATGAAAAAAGTCACACATGAATAAGGATGATGCAAAGATGTAAAAAATCCATTGAAAAAAAATTCAACTTTATAATGATATCAGTTTAAAAAGTTAGAACCAGAGTCAGAAAGCAGAAAGTCTGGACTTGTGTTCAGTAATGTGAGGAAAACTTGTGTTTTAGGAAGCATTACTGCTGTTATGCAGTTTTCTTGAAAACTTAGCTTTAACTTGATTGTAGTTTGTTGCAGACCATAGAAATATGCTGTTAAATTGACTGAAAGTGTGCATACAGCTAAGATTATGACCGTGGTGAACATCATAAAGTACATATGATTTCACTTTTTTCTTCTTTTCTTTTATTTATTTATGTATTTATTTTTTTCAGCTTTGGTCTCTTACCCAAACTTTCAAAAACAAGCTGCATGTCTTGTTTTTTTTTATTTCCTGTAAACTATACATTTTTATATAGGGCTAGGATCAGGCATTATACATATTGTTCGGGATTCATGGGTATGCAAAGCAAATTCTATTTATTTTAAGATTGATTAAGGGTTGGTGTTTGGAAATATATATAAGAGGTGCAACGATACAGAAAATTTACGGTTCGGTTCGGTTCGATACTTTAGTCTCATGGTTCGATATTTTTCGACACAAAAAAGAGAAATTTCCATGCCCCTTTTAACTTGTAATTTATGTAAATAAATTATAAACATTTGTTTAATCTCAAAAGTACAGTTTTTAAATTAAATGTTGCTGAAACAGCAAGTTTCTCAGTGGACCTGCGCTCAAAAATGCAGTGTAGGTGGAGAAGTCGAACACAGATCCACTGATCCTTTAACAGAGAGCATCTTCAGAAGACAAGTTGATAACGTAAATATTAAAAATCTGTATTGTTCAATACAGCACTGTTTGATACGAGTACATGTATTGTTGCACCCCTAAATGGTAGAGCATGACATGGGGAAAAAATGACCTGGAGACATTTAAAAATACATCACATTTTCTTAAGTCTGCAATAAAAGCTAACATCATAGTTACAGTTTATACACAGTTTTGTTGAAGGTATGACAACAAAAACAAGTTCAGTGTTCTTAAACAAGTGGTCATTGTGAGTTTTCATCGTAAACACTTTAGATTTATGGTCCTGTTGTTCTTATTGCTCACAGAAACTAATAATTCACTCACTGTGAATGTTAGCAGGAGCTTATGTTGTGTTTTGCTCTAACAAAGACATCTGTCATTAAAAAAACATAATTTGACTTAGTGTCAGTTTGATGATGTGTAATTATGTTTAAAAACCTGTCCTGTTTGACATTTATATAGACTGCTCTTAATTTCCTGCTTGTTTTTCTTTCTTTTTTCATCCTGTTAGATATCATGAAAATTCTAAAAACAAGAAGCACTAAATAATTCAGTTAGCATGTAATTAAGATGGAAAAAACATCACAGAATCACAAGTATTTTTTATTTTATTTTTAAAGCAAAATTGATATCCGGTTTCAGATTTAGCTTCTGTAAAATCTGTAAAAAAATACATTATATATTCAACTTGCAACCCCGGGGCCACAATCCAGGCTGTGGCAGAGCTCAGCCCAGTCCACCAAAGAATTCACTTTAAAAAAATGTCCACGAGAGAAACATTAAAAAACTAAAATAACAAAAGTTTCCAGTCCTGAAAAATAGTTCATTTTAGGATTAACTACATTTCAAATTGCAAATTAAATTTATGTGAAGACAATAATTACAGGATGTCTGGCCCCTGAGCTGTTGACTTTCAGTAACTGTGACCTCCTGAGCAATTTTATTGTAAAACCCTGCTGTACAAAGTTCACCAATTTTTATACGTGTGATATTTTTAAAGTGTCATGCTCATTGTTTACTTTTTCCTCCAGGGTTTAACTAACTGCAATGTGAGCTCAGGTAACAAGATTTACTGTTGCATCTATCACACAATGACACCACTGCACATCTGTAGTTGGTCTAAAACAGAAAACTGTGTTTTTACAGATGTTCAGTTCTGTGAAAAGCTGCATGATCCGTACGGCTCGGTGTTCATCGCACAGGTGCAGCTTACTGCCAGTCTTGTTGTCTCTGACATCGCAGACGTGTATGAGCCATGTCTGCAAATCCACATCACTCTTCAAAGTAACTTGGACTTCTTTTTTGAGATATTGTTATAGAGTGAAACAGTACAACTTTGGTTTAAACTGAAAAGAAATGAAATATTTAATGGTTTTTGGGGCACTGTTTGCTGTACAGTCATATATATATATATATATATATATATATTTGTATTAATATATCTGCTGAAGCGATCACTGACCTCAGTTCCACTCTGCACATTCGTTACAGGGAGTGGTCCCGAGGGCTCAGGTGACGATGACGAAGAGGAAGAAGGTATGAAAACAAACAGTAGAAGAAAACGGTTTCTTCCCTCTGACTGATGAAAACATTAGCGTAGTTTAGTGCGCATGCAAGTTTTTAATTTGCCTCTGTCATGTTTTGTTTTCTCTATTCTCTTTGTTGCAGCTCTAGTGAAAGTGGGTCTCTCCTTCCCAAGTTCCATAGAGGTTTGCAGAGCAGTCACGTTTAATCTGCGCTACTCTGGTTTAAATCAAGAAACCACACACAAGGTAATACTGGTCATAGTCACCAAATGAAAAGCATCTGGGTTTTATAATTTAACACAGCAAGACATAATAAAACATGTCCTTATCAAGTCTTGGAGTTGGATAAATCAAATCTTAGAAGGATAAAAGATTATAAATGACTCTGTATTAATATTAACTGAACAAAAACACCTGGAAAAAATGACCAGGTACATCTTGCTCTTGAAGATGATTTGCGGCAACTGGGTTCTATGAATTAAATGCAGTGATTAAGTGATCATTAACAAGTGAGATCACCTCACATCTGTGGGCATATTTGGTTTTTATAACTATTCAGGACCTTTTCTAATCACGGTCAGGAACCAGAGCCTGGTTCTAATACTGTGGAAAGGTATTTTTAGGGTTAGGTTAAGGTTAATGATAGTTGTGTACAGTACTAGTAGTGTGTAAGGGTTAGGGTTTAAAAAAAATGCAAAAGACTCCAGAGCTACATCTCGGACTCACAGACCCTCCGTTAGCGTGCTAATTGTTACAATTCTCAAGAACATTGTTACAAAAAACACCAAACAAGTTTGGTCATGCTTTGATTTCAAGTTTTAAGATGAAATAATCTTTTGCTGGAGTTGCAGCTGTTTTGGGCAAACCTTGTAAATAACCCTGGACATAATCCCACATTATTTTGTGGGATCTCTGAAGAGGTGTTAGCATTCAGAGTATATCAGAGAGAGGATCGTCAGCTGCTACAACACAACACTTACAGAAGCTCAATATTTGTAAATCTGACTTGAGTTTGGGATGTTTTTGTGTTGGCTAATGTGAATCAGTTAGGCCATTATTTACTGTCTCAAGTTTCAGAGGTGCAGGCAGTCATTACTTTCTGAGCGTTGCACTGAATCAATTCAGTCATTTAGCAGATATTCTGCTAATAAACAAACAGTGATTACACTAAATGTTTAGTAACGATGGTGAGCAATGTGTAGCTCTAAAAGGAAGTGAAGAGCATGACTCTCAGCTACTTACCCTCTAATTTTGTTCCTCCGATAATTACTTTTTGAGAGTTTTATGAGTTCATCCATTGTTTTATGAAATATTTTTAATTTGATTTTCAATGCTAGTCTGCTGTGACGACATAATACCGTGTTTAGCCTCACCCGGGCTTCCCATCCCAGAAAGGTGACCACCTTTCATAAATGACTTCAGCAAGCGTACTTCTACAAGTCAAACATCAGACACTGTGTTCAACGACTGAAACGTGTGAAACAGATCATGTGAAAGAAGAATGATCTGAAGCACAGCAGCTGATCTAGAAGAGATCAGACTGGAAAAGAACAGATTTTATCAGACACGATTGCAAGAACATCTAGAAAGCTGTGCACAAACCAAAACCCTCACAAACCAAAACAAATACAAACAAGAATGAGATGACATTCCTCCACGTCGATGTGACATACTGATTAGCAAACTATTACGTGGATGCACGCCCACAGACTTTCACACACGCACGTTTTGTATTTCTATCTTTATTAGGACCGTGTATTGACTTCCAGTCATTTCTAGAGCCTAAACCTAAACATGGCTCAAATCACACCTTAGTCCTAACCCCTGACCCAAAAATGAGGATCCACTGTTTTAGGACCAGGCTTTGGTTCCCAAAAGGGAACGTGTTTGTACCAGAAAAGGTCCTGTTGGCAAAAGTATCTCATGAGAGGACGAATTAAAAAAAAAAAACTTTCAAATTGATAATTGAACGTTAATCTTAAACTGATTAACTTCAGACAACCTCATCCAAGATGGCGGCCTGCCACAGGTAATTAATCTTAGCAAACAGAACATCATATGACCCAGCCAATTAACAGATATTAAAATTTTGTGTGTAAGCTACACAAACTAAGTCCAACTTTGGCAAGAAAGAGAGCAAGCAGCTTAGAACTCTGGATGATTTTTAAAATCATGTTGAAAAACTGGTTCACGATGTAAGAAGCGGTCCGTAGGTGAGTAATACTGAGCAGTAACTGCAGCAACATCAAAGAGGTTTATTTTTAGCCTTACGGACTGTAAGGAATTTTCTCTTCTTTGACAAACTTAAAACTTCCCTCTACTCTTGTCTGAGGGACAAAACTCTAAAACAGCTGGGCAACGTACAGGCCAAAAATGTTACCAATTCCTGCACAACTTTTAGCGCTCAGAATAAGTTTGAAATGACTCTCAGATACTACCACTCCAAATTCATCCTGACTATCTGTACAGCCATTTGCAAGAGTTGATCCGCTCTGACAGACATTTTTAATCAGGTTTTATTCAGGCGTAAAATCTGTGGTAGAATCAGGGATTACTTTCCAGGAGTTTCGTTTGAATTTGACCTCTGGTTCATAAGATATTTTACTAACAAACACAACAATTACATGAATGCCCCTCTATTATGGAGCTGAAGGGTAAGGACGTATTAGAGTATGTTTGGGTGACTTGTTAATGTGTGTATCTGACATCCATCCACATTGAAATGTTTATCAGTTTGATGTGAGGGATTTTGTGTTAACATTTTCTTTATGTTTTCAGCTGCTGTTGACACGGAAATTAGAAAAATTGCGTTTTGGCTCAACTGTTGTGGTTACAACACAGTCAGCAAAGAGTGGGTTTAAAGTACAAAACATCACACTTCCAGATGATGGTGAGTAAAAGCACAATAATCTGAACAGAACCAAATAATAATAATAGTAATAATAATAATTCCTCTTTCTTTCAGTTTGCCATGAGAAGCTTGATAGGATTGTAACAAAATGTAATGGTAAGAAGTTAAAGTTTCATTCTGTAACTTTTAAAGCAATTTCTCAACATAAATAAATTAATTTGAGTAACTGTTGCCATGTCATGTTGCACCTTCAATCACGTTGCATTCTTGACCTTTATTGCAGCTGCTCAAAACCCGTGACAGATGATTGTTTAGTTGGTATTTATGATGACTAATGCGTGTCTCTCTTAGTTCCCGTACTCCGTGCAAAAACTGAGGACGGTGAAGTCCGACTGCAACACGAAAGCAGCAGCTCCAAACAAGACAAGCTCTCTGGTCTGATGGTCTGGGATGGAGTATGTTCAAAAGACTTACCATGGGTCAGTCTGCAGTAATCTGTTCAAATAAGTGATAATGCAGATTTCTAGGTGTGTGTTTTTATTAATTTATAAAACCATTTTACAGCCCAGAAACACAAGTGAGATTTCGGTTTCATCAGAATTTGTCGCACCTTGCTTGTGCTTCCAGGTAACAAGACAAAAAACATGCAAGAGTTTTTTTTCTTTCAAATAAGTTACTTAGTAAGGTGAATATTTTGTTTACAGGCATGGTGGGGGGAAGGAGACAGGGTGGAGTATTGTCCCTTCAGACATCATAAAGGTAAATAGGAGTTTCTTGTTCAGTCAGTTTATAAAAAGTAATTAAACATAAGTGGTGTTTTTGTTTTAAATTCCTCGCCAGCTTTATTTGAAAGAATGCACCAGAACATACACGTGACAATGGAGGAGGTTCCGCTGAGGAGTGGCAGAGCAGGGCTGTCCTGGAGCATAACTTCCACCTGCAAACTGAAGGGAGAGGTGCGGCTGTGCAAGAAAGATCTGACGGGGAGCTGGTGTGAAGAAGTGATCAACTCCACGCACAAACTGCAAGACAGCTGGACTAAATCAAGCTGCAGACATTTGGTATAAAAAAAGAGCACTTAATCCAATTGCAAAAGCTGAAATCTATAGGAAAAAAGTTGATGTTTTTATAGCATCATTGTCAAAAATGATCAAAAGTCTGTTTAGAACTGTACAATGTTGTGCCTGTCAACTAGAAAACTGCTTTGTTTAGATTAGAGGGCAACATTTTCACACTTAGTTTGGTTGACAATAACCTGAGGTTAACATTGTACATACAGAGTGATCTGATGGTTCAACTAATCAGAATTCCAAATATCTTTCTCTCAGTTGTTCTCTCAACAAGCTAGAAAACAACAACTAGGTAAAATTATTTAGCATTTTTTAATCAGCATTTTTTAATCAAAATCTGTTAGTAGAACTTTGAAACATTTTGGCGAAGAAGTTTGTCTACTTGAAATTAAGAACAACAAATTTATCTCTTAATAACGCATCTTAATCAGGTTTAAACACCAAGCGCCAAAATTTCACTGCTATTAATCATGATTTCTTTTCTCCCTTTTTGCTTAGTCTTCATATTTTCAGCAAACAGGATTGTTCACTGTGCCACGCCATCCTCTGCTTTGTGTGCAGGTACCAATAACACTTCTTACTAGTTCAATTATAAAATTGTAGAAAATATTTTCTACTTCTTGTGAACACTAAATAAAACTCTTTTGAAACATTTTTTAGGGGAAACTAGAAGGAATGAAGGCGTTTTCAGAGCCCCATTGTCCATTTATGAGTAAGACTATTAGCTCTTTAGATTTAGTTTCTTTTATATGCAAAACAAACAATTACATTAGGTAACTGTTCACATTATTAAAAAAAACTGTTATCATGCTTAATAAAACCCTCATGTTTTGTTTTCCCAGCCTCTCGAGTTAGGTGGATCCTACCGCTTCTCATTGGATTAATGCTCACGTGTTTGGCTATACTTGCAGCCTATTTAATACAAGGAATCCTAAAAGGTGAACTTATTATTATTTGTGCACCGTTAAATCTATTATATCATTTTCTGTAAAAAAACAAAAAAACAAGCTTAAATAAATCTAAATTTAAACTCTTGTTTTCTCGCCAGGTTACGTTTGGAAGTGGTTGAAAGAAGACGATGTTAAAGGTGAAACAGCCACCGTTCATCTTATTTTGACCAAACACTTGTTTTTAATTGTTAATTTATGCTGATAATATATATATTAGGGGTACAATGATACAGAAAATTTATAGTTCAGTTTGGTTCGATACTTTAGTCTCACGGTTCAATATTTTTCAATACAAAAAAGAGAAATTTCCATGCCCCTTTTAACTTGTAATTTATTTAAATTAATTATAAACACTTGTTTAACCTCAAAAGTACAGTTTTTAAATTGAATGTTGCTGAAACAGCAAGTTTCACAGTGGATCTGCGCTCAAAAATGCAGCCTAGGTGGAGTAGTCGAACACAGATCCACTGATCCTTCAACACAGAGCATCTTCAGAAGACAAGTTGATAAAGCAAATTTAAAAAAATCTGTATTGTTCGATACAAGTGTGTTATGAACCTAAATATAAATAAACATCAAAAGTTCTATTTTACATCAGTGTTGAGTAGGAAATTCAGAAATAACAGATTTGAAGTGAAGATACTTTGCTTTGAGTTAGGGGAAGTAAATAACTGATAAGGGTTGTATTTTTTTTACTTGTTTCATACCGAATAATTGTTTGATTAAAACAGTGATATTCTCAGTTTTCTTCTTCTTCAGGTGCAGTGGGTGGCAGTCACGTGGTGCTGCTGTATCCCTCTGATGAGACTGATAGGCGCCTGCCAGGGCTGCTGTGTCACCTGGGCTCGTCGCTTCAGTCCCTGGGCTTCACCGTCTCTCTGGACCTCTGGAGCCAGGCTGAGCTCAGCGCACTGGGCCCCATGCCGTGGCTCCACTCACGACTGGACCAACTGCAAAGGCAGGGGGGTAAAGTGGTGCTGGTCCTGACCCAGGCCACCTGGAGGAGAGCTGAAGAATGGGGCGCCTGCAGCTGTGAGCAGAATGGATTACAAAACGTAAACGCGGAGGGCCAGCTGGGGTGGGCCTACCCCCCACCTTCACGCCACATGGATGTTTTTGGTGCTTCGCTGAGCTGTATCCTTGCAGACTACTTACAGGGCCGTGCCGGGGAGAGGTTCATGTTGGTGCAGTTCGAATCCCTCCCACCTGAGCCACCGGATGGTTTCCGGCCTCTCCCACAGCTCTTCTGTGGACTTCACGTCTACAGCCTCCCGTCGCAGAGCTTGGGTTTTCTGACTGAGCTCGCTGGAACCAAGAAAGTGGCCTCTGCATCAGCCAGGAGGAAACGAGCCGGAGGGCTCAGGATGGCATCCCGGGCTCTGGCACAGAAACTGTCAGGGTTCACCGCTGGCACTAATGTCTTCAGACTTGCTGGGGTGTCTCAGGGTTGTGTGGGCGGGGGAGTGGAAGACTCTGGGGAAACTGTGCCCTTAAAATCGTATCTTATAACACCCCCGTCCAGCCCAGAGCCTGACCCCACGGTTGGTGAAGTGGTGTGGATCTGAAAGCTTCAGAGGGTAAAAGTCCAGTTATGGGATGAGCAGCTTGTGATGACAAAAGTACCTCGAGTGATGCAGTTTAGCTGTTTTCTCTACCCTGTAGGTGTGTGTGTGTGTGTGTGTGTGTGTGTGTGTGTGTGTGTGTGTGTGTGTGT